TCAAACTCATTCGGTCCAATCAGAACTTTTCTATCTGGTTCTGATCCCATCTGACAGAACACTTTACATCCAGAACATTTCTTCAGATTGTAACCAGCAGAGCTTTGGAGCAGATTTATTGACAGACTAGCAGGTTGGTGCAGACCTGGATTCAGTCTCACTCTGTTCTGTCCTCATTCACAGTTTGTTCTGCTGCTGCTGGTTCCATCATCTCCACGGTGGAGGATGAAGTTCCAGAAGCTCTGCTTTGTTCTGCTGCTCACTCAGGAACTGTTATAACATCTCGACAGCTGCTGCTTCATCAGCAGGAACAGAGAGGTGTGACTTCTGCCTCTTCAGTCTTTTATAGATCAGAAAACCACCAGCAAGAAGAATCACAACCACCGGTCCAAGATGTCCTCCACTGATTCCAACCTTGTCTCTGGACCTTGTGACCGGACCAGGAACCAGAGCATCAGACAGAACCAGGCAGACATGTTACCGTCTTCCTCCGTCTCTGATCCCTTTGTCAGTTCAGTACCAATGTCCCACAACAAAGTTCAGTCAGTAAACACACTGATTGTTCTCTGGTTATTATTCAGAAACCAATCCGTGAGGTGCAGCAGCGTAAAGACACGGTGGAATAGTCCTTGAGTCAACCTTTTAATTTTTAAGTTTATTTTGAGTGAAATCTTCCTTTAAAACCGTAAGTCGTGCACTTTAGTGATCATTCACTGTGGTGGGTGGCGCTCTGCACGTGCGGTCCTCGGAGTGGCTCTGCAGACAGACTGTTTGGGGGCTGGACCCCAACAAGTGCACAAGAAAAACAAGTAACCAATTTAAATCCCACAGAACTTCATGTTTAATTGACTTTATGTTCATTTGTAATTTCAGTTAGTTTCGCTTTGAGGTAAACGTCCTTGTTTTACTAAAGTCATCTCTTTTTCACACACCTGTGGTACTTCAGGTACGTGTCCATCATGCATTTTCTACACACCGCTTCATCCTCACCAGGGTCATGGGGGGCGGAGCCTATCCCAGCTGACTCAGGGTGAAGGCAGGTTCACCTGGACAGGTAACCAGTCTATCACAGGGCTACACTTAGAGNCCCCCCGTGTCAGGCCCCGCCCACTCCCCCCGCACCTCTGCTCCAATGGCAACCTCAGAATCTGTGACATCACAGCACGACGTCGCTTCCAGGCTCAACAGACATGAGCACGATGACATCACGGTCTAGCCCTCCTCCTATTGGCCCAGAGCCCCTCAGTTGCTTTTCTGTCTGTTGTTGGGTTGTTGTTGTTGTTGTTGTTGTTGTTGTTTTTGTTGTATCAGGAACCAATCTCAGGCTCTACCTGCAGACAACATGATGGCAATAAACTGTCAGTAAGAATCAAACCGACTCGCCTCCTGTTTCACTGCGTTCACGTTCGCTTCAGCAGCAGATGCCACAATTTACTGATGTCCCTAAACACCTCACCTGCCTCAGCAGCCACCACAGTGTGCCCTAAACGCCTCACCCGTCTGGTAAACGTTAGTTTCCCCATGTTCCCTAAACACATCACATACAGCCGATGCTACCGGTTGCTAATGTTCAAGAAGGCCTCACATTCGTTGAGAGACTCTACAATTCACCGGTGTTCCCTAAATGCCTCACATGCATCAGTAGATCATACAATTTACAGACGTTCCTGAAACGCCTCACATGCAGGCTATCCATAGACGCTACAATTTACAGATGGTTCCTGAACGTCTCGCATTCATCCACAGACAGTGAAGTTTGGCTCTGTTCCCTGAACGCCTCACATGAACCCATAGATGCTGTAATTTACAGATGTTCCCTGAACGCTACCAAGGTCAGCAGCTGCAGGAATCTAATTCAACATAGCTGAGATGTGAACACGCAGACAGAGACGGGTTGTTACCCTCAGCTGGACTTCAAGCTCCACATCTTAACATGAACACATATTATATTATATTGTATTGTATTGTATTATGTTATATTATAAAATGAAAAAAAAAAACTTATTTATCCCAGAAGGGAAATTTAATATATTAATATATTGAATATATATATTATATAATATAAATATATTGTAATATAATATATTAATATATTATATTATTGAGTCATCCTCAGTGTTCTGGACACCACTGGTCCTCTGGAGCAGTGGTGCTGCTCTAACGAGGACAGTTGGACCAAACCGTAACGACCAGATGTTCCTGCATGGACACAGTTTGAACAACTCTGTAATCTGTCCTTTTATGATCTCTGTGCCACCAAATGTCAGTGAAGGCAGCAGGCGGCGGTCTGAGCTGCAGCTGTCAGAGTTTCCTCTGTGGCCTCGGACGTGACGAGTCAGAATTGACAGAACCGGTATCAGCAGGACTCAGGCTTTTATCTCACTTCCTGCTCCGTCAGCTGAGCCGGCTCTTCAGCCCTCAGCATCTTCTCTACCTTCTTCACTCTCAGAGCGACGGTCCTTCAGCTCTCATGGTCGCGATGCAGCTCTTCATCCTCCTCCTCATCCTCGTGTCCCATGTTGCCATGGTTGCAGCCGTGGCCGGTTGCCACAGCGACAGGGACAAGGACCACCGGCCAAGGAAGAACTGCACGGCGACCGGGTTCAGCGACGTCCCGGCAGGATTGGAACCCACGACGAAGGTAAAGCTGCCACGGAGAGTCATCGTTTGTTTTCTGTGATGACGGGCTGGTCGTGGTTCCTCAGTGAGCTGAACAACTGAACTGACTTCATCCAGATTAAGTCACTTCAGAGCTGAAGTTAAATCAACTTTAATCTGATTCTCTCACGTCAACAGTTCCTCTTTCACCAAAACCTCAGTCTGAAGGAGGAACTGTTACGACAAAATGTTCACAGCAGCGTTTACTTTGACTATAAACGTGGCTTTTACACAGATTCAGAAACACATTCAGCCCACAAACTAGAGCTCAGACAAGAAGGCTTTAATAACTGAGCGATTAGCAGCATCGCTAATATTCCTACAGTAGTAAAAGGAAGTTTTCAGTCTCATGAGAATATTCATGAAAACAAGTTTTCACGTTGACGTTACTACGACCATGAAGGGAGTGTTAGCGGAGGGAAGACTCAGATACGATCGGTCTGAATTCTGTGGTTCAGCTTCTTTAACATCAACATTTTCTGGTTTCTTTCCTGAAGATCTTTGGACGAAACAAGACGTTTGAGCAAACCCCGTTTTGTTTTAAGGTTTTACAACCAAACAGCTGATCGATTCGGAATAAGATGAATAATAAATATTCACGTTAAACCTTTATGGAGGTAGACAAACAGATGCCAAACAACCCTGAAGGCTCACACTAACTATGAAGACGCTCTAAAACCTGCGCTTATTGCAGATCTAACCTCAGACGTTTGATGATCTCCAGATACGTGATCGTACCGACTCCTGCTTACAGGCCAGCGCCTCAGAGTGACGACAGAATTCCACTTATTATGTTTATTTTTAGTAGTTTTGAAACTCTTCCGGTCAGAGCTTCCTTCAGAGGAAGCGTGTCCTTATCTGGCTTCTGCAGAGTTTCAGCTCAGACCACAGCAGCTCCAGAGAACGTCGACCATCAGACCGTCAGACCGTCAGACCATCAGACCGTCAGACCGTCAGACCATCAGACCGTCAGACCGTCAGACCGTCAGACCATCAGACCGTCAGACCGTCAGACCGTCAGACCATCAGACCGTCAGACCATCAGACCATCAGACCATCAGACCATCAGACCTAGATCTGCTCTCTGCCCTCAGGTCCTGCTGTTCCCCAACAACCTGTTCTCCAGCCTGTCCTGGGCCTCCTTCCAGGTGTTCACAGAGATCCACGAGATCGACCTCACAGGCAACAAGGTGTCTGTCTGTCTGTCTGACTGTCCGTCTGTCTGACTGTCTGTCCGTCTGTCCGTCTGTCCGTCTGTCTGTCTGTCCTTCTGTCCGTCTGTCTGTCCGTCTGTCCGTCTGTCCGTCTGACTGTCTGTCTGTCTGACTGTCTGTCCGTCTGTCCGTCTGTCCGTCCGTCTGTCTGTCTGTCTGTCCGTCTGTCCGTCTGTCCGTCCGTCTGACTGACTGTCTGTCCGTCTGTCCGTCTGTCCGTCCGTCTGACTGACTGTCTGTCCGTCTGTCCGTCTGACTGTCTGTCCGTCTGACTGACTGTCTGTCCGTCCGTCCGTCCGTCCGTCTGACTGACTGTCTGTCTGTCTGTAAGTAACCTGTCTGTCCGTCCGTCCGTCCGTCCGTCTAGTTGTCCTGCAGCAACCCCAGTGAAACCAGTGAAACCAGTGACCGTTCATGTTCCAGTAACTTCTCCCTGCAGGTTCCAGCCGTGACCCCCAGCGCCGCTGCCGTCCTGCCCAGCCTCAGTGTGCTCCGGCTGGGCTCCAACCAGCTGAAGTCCCTCCCTGCCGGCTGCTTCTCCGCCTGCCCGGCCCTGACTGAGCTCTACCTGGAGAACAACGCCATCAGCTCCCTGAGCGACGGGACCTTCAGCGGACTCAGCAAGCTGGAGGTCAGAGACCCGAGAAGACGGGAGCTGTTGTCCCAGCGAGCTGCTGTTCAGCCCAGCTGCTGCCCAAATAGTTCATACCTGCATGTTGCACTAAATCAGTTTTGTGTCTCTTGTTTTTTACCTCTCGTGCTCTTGTGTGTGTCTCCCAGGTGGTTTTTATCTGTTTGCGTTGAACTAGCTTCATTGTGCATCTCTTTGTGTTTGGTTCTGTCTCCCTGTGGTCCGTCTGGGTGTCTTTTTGGTTTGTTTGTCTCAGATTTGCGTCTGTTTGTGTCAGGTTTGAGCTCCTTCTGGACATTTTCTGCATCGTTGTCGTCCCTTCACATTCATTTGTGATTGTTTACATCTTATTTTATTGCTTTGCGTCTCTTTGCAGCTGTTTTGCGTCTCGTAGTTGTTCTGTGTGTCTGTTTGCACTGAACGAGCGTCTGTTTGTGTTCGGTTTGCGTCAGTTTTAACCTCCTTGTGGTCTCCAGATCCTGGACCTGACGTCCAATCATATCCAGGTGCTTCCTGCTCTCATGCTCCACCCCCTCCCAGCCATAGAGACCATCTACCTGGAGAGTAACAAGGTGAGGACCAACAAGTCCAAGTGGAGCTGCTGTTGACTCGGCCTCCTGTAGGGGGCGACAGCCTACAGGTCTAAAACTGGAGGGTTCTTCTGTTTGGTCTCAGATCAGGGTGATGCCAGACGATTGGTTCAGCAAGAAGGAGGAGGTGCCTTACCTGTTCCTCTCAGCCAATCCCTGGGCCTGCTCCTGCTCCCTGGGTTACCTGCGCAGGTACCTGGAGGACTACGAACTCAACGTGTACGTGAGGGACGGCCCGATCGTCAGCATCGATGTGGACAGTGTGGTGGGTCTGAGCTCGTTCTGTTTGGCTTCTCCTCGCGTCGCCTCAGACAGCCACGAGCTGCCAAACGAGTGAATGCGGGTCGGTTTGGACAGTACGGTCCGTCCTGGGCTGGTTAGTCAAAGGCTCAGTGACGATGCTGCTGAAACAGAACGTGGCTAAATAAATACACAGACACACAGAAAGGCCAGGAAACACCTCCGGGTTCAGATTAAGAACACTGTAGAAACAAATAAAATAAAAACGTGTCTGAAAAAACAGATAGAAATTCGATGGGACGGTCCAAAGCTGTAAACTGGTTCAAATAACAGGTCAGGTTCATTTTTATTGTGCTTTTAGGATTTACTTCTCTGGTTTCTGTTCTCAGGTGTGTGACTCTCCGACGAGGCACAAGGGCAAACCTGTGATGAGTCTGGAAGAATCGGACTTTTGTTCACCTGCGACAGAACCGGGTCCGAACGGAGATTTCTACTGGACGACAGTCGCTGCTGCTCTGAATGACCCGACGACTAATGCCCCTCCTCCTCCTACTACTATCCCTCTTGTTACCACAACTACCCCTCCTCCTACTGCCCCTCCTCCTCCTTCTACCACTACCACCCCTCCTACTGCCCCTCCTACTGCCCCTCCTCCTCCTTCTACCACTACCACCCCTCC